GCTCTTCAGCACCGCTGGGTTTCCAGGACAGGATTTTGGACAGGCAGCAAATCAAGAAAGCAAAACACAATTTTGCAGGGCTTCAGGGACTATTGGATTTGTGGCTGCACCATGTACACTGCATGGGCCATATCTGATTCCTTCATGTCCATTCATACTAAATGTTCAGCTTTGTATATAGCATCCTAGGAGGCCCAAAAATCGATAGCAGGGGGTGGAAGAAGCATTCCCCTCCCCTGTCCTTCTTTGCAGCTCCACTTTCATCCCTGAAGCATATTTTCCAGTGCCCAGCAATAGTAAGCAGCTGTAGCATAAGAAAAACCCTCTCAAAGTCTCCCCCACATCTGTCTTGCATTTACACTGTAGAAACACAGCCTGCGAGGAAGCTGACATTCACACTCCGCTGCAAAAACCCCCTCGCAGAGCACAGCAGCAGCACCAGCCACCAAACCCGCCTTCGTCAGGCACCAGCATTAACGCGAACACAGAAAGCTGCCTCACCTCTCTCGCTGGGCTCCGTGCCGCTCCTCGCAGGCAGACGCAGCAGACACAGGACACTGCCAGGGCCAGGAGTGCTGCAGATACTGTTTAGAGGAGATCGTATATTCTGGAGATTACAGCAAAGCATGTAGAAATACCGCAGCAGGGGTTAAACGCACCCTGCGCCTCTTGGGCTGCAAAAAAGCAAGGGGGAAAAGTCATCCTGCTCTTGAGCCTTCAGCACAGCCAGTTCACAGGCAGGAGAGGGGATTTGGCTACAGACAGAGCCAGACACTGCCTGTTTGCCAACCTGAGACCACAGAACATTTTTCCTTCCCTCTACCTGTTACACAAGCCAGGAGGGGAGGCAATAGGCTGCCAGCAACTCAATCAGAGGAGCCTGAAGCTGCCGGCAGCACCCTGCAATCACAAGCAGCTGAGCCTCGTGAGGGCGGCAGGGACCCAGGGGCACCTGTGAACATTGGGGGGGGGGGGGGACATTTCGTAGCCCCCTGTGCCCCATTCTGTCCCATGGCTGTGTGGTTTTGGAAAAGGGAAGGTCAGGTTTCTTTTCCCTAATAAATGATTTACTTTAAACAAAGATTTTTAATTCTAGATGCTTTCCCCACTTTGATGCGAGGGCAACATCCCTTTACATCTCTTTGAGGGTGCTAAATCCCAAGAACAGCCACATTGCTACTAACCTTGGCAAAAGCATCTGGGCCTTCGGCACTCGATCGGACGGTGCGTGCCCAGTGTCACATCTGGGGGTTCAGGTCCTGCTGGCTGCGGGGACCGAGGAGGTGCTGCCATGGGGGAACCTCCAACGCCCTTTGACAAGGAGCAAGCAGCCTTGCCAGCACCAAGCTTGGAGTAGCCCAAGGGCTGGGGTGTGCAGCACTCAGCCCTTTGCACCCACCCAGCTGGGCTGGTATCAAATAAGGATGGCATCATCAGGGCATGGTGGCTGGTCCGGCCACAGAGCCCAAGCCGTGCTTGTCTCTGCAGGTGAATACAACACCAATGAGGAAGACAACACGGAGCAGTGGCGTAAAGTGGTGAAAATCCTTCCCCACCCCACATACAACGCCACCATCAACAAGCACCACAATGACATTGCCCTCCTAGAGCTGGACCGGCCGCTCAGCTTCAACAGCTACGTCACCCCCATCTGCATCGGCAGCCGGGAGTTTACCAATGCCCTGCTGAAGCACGGGACGGGGACGGTGAGACGCTCTCCCGCGGCCGGCCCGCCACCATCCTCCAGATCCTCAAGGTGCCCTTCGTCGACCGGCCGACCTGCCTCAAGAGCACCTCCACCACCATCCTGCAGAACATGTTCTGCGCTGGCTTCCCCGCCGGGGGCAGTGACACCTGCGGGGGGGACAGCGGAGGTCCCTACACCACCGAGATTGAGGGCACCTGGTTTCTCACGGGAATCACCAGCTGGGGCGAGGAATGTGCCAAGCCAGGTAAATACGGCATCTACACCAGGGTCTCCAAGTACCTGAAGTGGATAAAAGAAATCACAAGGCTTACCTAACCCATGGGAGGTTATGCCATGCTGGGGGATAGACTGGTTTGTTGAAGAGAGACCGTTGAAGAGATTGCTGTCTGTATTTTTCAGAAATCATTGTGTCTTAATAAACATTTCTAAATGAACTAATTTCTGCTCTTGGAAGGCAAGAGTTGGGAGAAGGCATTGGAAATGTAGTAATAAGGAAATAAAAAGCCTTTTTAATTATCCATGACTGCATTCCTGAACGCACTGGAACTGCTGAGATGGTGTAAGTCCCCAAATCCCAAGTGCAGAGGCTGGTGTGGATGAGCTGGGGCATGGCTCACACATGCCCTGGCCAGCGTGTCACCGGCATGCCCACAGCTGCCGCACAGCACTGCGGGCAAGGGGAGGCCGGCAGGCACTGGGTGCCTCGGGCACCAGTGTCCAGCATCATCCCTGTAGCAGGAGCGCGTGAGGGCAGGGAACACACAAAGCATCGTACCCACAGCACTCTCCATCAGACATTTCCACGTGAGCCAGGCTGAGGTGGATCACGGGCAGCAGGAAATGCTCCTCCTGCTTTAGGATGGCATAAATTGGCTGTATAAATGACCTAAAATCTGTATAGGATTCATCTAGAGGTAGTGGCAGGCTTTATGCTAATGATTTCTGCAGAGCCTTGTTAGGATTATAAAGAGAACTGCTTAGTGCTCATTACCTGTCCTGGTCTCCATATTAATCATGGTGAACTAGAGACTGCAGCCACGAACGCTGCTGGTGGTGATGGAGATGGAGCACTGCCCTCCCCAAAGGAGCTTGGGGGATGTCTCCTGGGTGCAGACGGCATGGGACACCCCAGTGTCTGCTCTGAGCGGGTGGGAGAAACCTCACTGGGAGGTGCCTGCTCCATGCCCAGGGTGGGCGCTGGCACTGAGGCATGGGGAAGGGGAGGTGGCATCCCGGGGAAAGGCTATGCTGGGCAGAGGTCCTGTGCTGGGCTGACTCAAATGGGCTTAATTCAGTTCCCAACTTCAAGGGAAGGGAATTACCCTAGAGGAAAGGAGGTTTACCTTTGATCAGCGCTGGTTCGTCTTGTATCTCCTTCCATGGAAAACTCCAGGGGTGCACAGAGAAACAGCATGGCCTTCGGGAACTGCACCCTGTGATGCCTGGTGCAGGCAGCTTGTGCACGGGCTTTACCATGCTGCAGGTATGCGCAGAGGACCACAGCACGTCCCGAGGCAGAACCCCGGTGCCGAGGGTCTCCTCCCTCCTGCCTGGTGACATGTGCCCCCAAAACCACCTCTCCCCCCACACCACCCACAAAAGGGCTGTTGATGCCCACACGGTCCCTGGGCACCCACCCACGAGCACGGCCCCGCGGTCCCCAGCCTGGAGGTCCCTGCTGGCAGCGCTGCCCGGTGCTGGGACGCAGGGGAGGCTGGTGATGGAGCCAGCCCGAGCCAAGGCAGGACTTCAACAGCTGCTGTTTCAGACACCAGTATGAGCACTAAGGTGCCTCTCCCAATTTCATTGCCACTACATCCAGCAAGAAGCTAATCAGATCATCTGCCACTGCTTATTTTAAAATCAAAATGCATGTAAGAAGGTTATATTCGCTCCAAAGAAATTAAGTAAAACCAACACTGTGAGAATTATTTTTTTTTCTCTAGAATTATAGCAGACATGTCTTTGGACAGAATTGCATATTCTCATATTAATTTATTTAACAAGTTTTTAATCTTTAAATATAGATTTAACACATTTTTTTACAGGTACATATACAATATAGTTCATTTAAACTTGCAGTCAGAGAAAATTCTCTACTGTAATTTATAATAACATATACATGAAGAGCCTAGTTCAACAGCATACTTAAGGTACCATACCATGTCGTGTGCAAAGTTTCAAATGTTAAAAATCTCAGACTGTACATTCAGATTTGCAGAACTTATCAACCTCATAAATTAATAAAAGCTTAGGTTTAAAACTATGGAAGACAAAAAAGATTAAAACCACTTAATATGCAATGTGTGCTATGTTTGAGACAAATATTTACAGTTGTACCTCAAAATGCGTATTGTTACCACAAGAAGTGTTACCACTATGAACAGCCCCGACAGTAACTTAAGAGACTCCTACTTTTCCAGCTAGCAAGTGCGTTGTGACCAATTTTAAAGTAGATGGAAATAACCTTCAGAGACTTAAAACCTCTCTGCTATGATTGCCAGTGGCTGAAGAATACTGCGATCTTTCCAGGTCTTGCAGAGTTGCTCAGTTCAGACTCAGCCGGTCAGGTTTTTGAGGGCGTACGGGGGTTACCCACAATACTGGCCACCCGAACTGGAGAAATGCCCACCGCTGCGTGCCAGCGGGGCGGGGAACCCCCCAGGCAACCACAGCCATCAAGTAGTTCAACAATTCCTCCATACAAAAATGGTCACAAAAACACCCCTCACCCCAGTATGTTTAAACTTAACAACGTGGGACTGTGTCTAAGAATCCATGGTTCACAAATCAAAGTCAGATCATAAAGGTCCCCCTTTAGTCCACAGTATAAAATGTTTCATTTTGACGGGACAGAGCAAATTCACTACCGCATGCATGCTATTAACCCTGTTCTCAACACAGTCAGATGCTCTTTGCACACATCTGCTTAGAAGTCAAACCACCTGTACCTATGTTCTACAAAAGCAAAACTAGACAAAGAAACACAAAATTAAATTATGAGTGTTCGATCTTCTTTTTTCTTTCTCAAAAATTCAATAGATACATTATTGTTAGAGATGCTGAAAAGTACAGTCTTATCACAAGAACATCCTTAGTGCAAACATGGACATTTAACTTTTCTTTATGGCACGTGTTCCAAAAGTACATACATTTAATGTAAACTTCAACACTTGCTAGATACAGGTTTCAGCCTTGGGACACTTCGGGACCCTAAGTGATTGGCGACAACCCTGAGTTGTCAGTTTGACCTGATCCAAACCTCACTGAAATCAATGGGACTGACTGCAATGGGCTGGAGTCAGACCCTAAGTGCAAAAAGAGGATCTTTAGCGTTATTGCATCTTCGCATGTGAGTCAGCCAGATGATGCTCTTACAGAACGTTACATTCACATAGCTGAAGTCGATATTTAGGAAAAATCCATTCATAAAATCAATTAAGCAGGACATACAGCTTCTTTGTTTGGTTTTCATTTTTGTTTTTTGGTTTACCAAAACTCAACTCTTTTATTTGCAACTTCAACAGTTGTCAGCTAATAAGTAGGTAAAGCCTTCAACCTGGAGAGGAAATTTCAAGCATCTAAACAAAGTGTCAGGAAACTGTAGTGTACTTCTCTGATGAAACGTGATGGATGTCATGGAAAAACAGCAGGTAAAATTAATAAAATACTGTACTTTCCATAGGAGAAAAAAAAGAAAGAGCAGAGAATGGCTTCCTTTATGATTATGAGAAGCTGCTTAGGACCCCAGTCCCGTTCAGTGCAGATGAAGCTGTGGAGGTCTGTGAATGTGATGAATAGTACAGGACAACTCCAACTATTGTGCTATTTCTCTGTAACACTTAGTTGAAAGCTTCCAAAGAGCATCGAAAATAGGATGCTACTAGTTCACCCTCAATTCAAGGGGAACTAAACTTTCTCGTGTTACACAGGGCAGCATCTATAAAGTAATGAAGATTGATGTTAATATTAAAGCATCTTATTCCAAGAAATACATTGTTCCCTGTAATCATGTAACATTTGTATAACATAAAAAAAAAAAAAATAAGTGCACTCCTGCAGTTCTCCCTAAAAGCTGAACTCCCACTAGCTTCAGTGAGAGCCTTGTCTAAGGCAGGACCGCAGGGCTTCACTCATTTCCATCATCTATCACTTGATTTTCACAGCGCGGCCAGCTGATATCTTCTCTAGACTCCTCATTTTGTCAGGCTCAAAATGGTTTTGTACAGCATTACAAAATAGGTGTTCTGTGAAGCTGGCTGGCATCACAGGTTGTACAAGGAGACCCTGCTTTACGTTTCAAAGGTCAAAAAAAAATCAACATTATCTTTAATGGACCCTGCATAAATACAAAAGCCTGCGGCTGCAATCATTAAAGTGCATGAGTAATAGTGCAAACAGCTGCGCTGCATCTGCAAAACTACAAGTGGCATTTTAAACAGAACTTAGACAAAACTTGCGCGTTTCAGCTAACATGCTTACGCCAGCCTACAAGAGCTCAGGAGTTCAGCCACGTATGATACTCTTATCGGGCAGATTCAAACCACGCGGCCTAGGGAGCCACGTACAGGGTTGCCTCAAGCTCACCATAGTCGAGAGGACGAGCCCCACCGCCCTGGCCAGCAGGAGCAGAGGACATGCAAGCTCGGTCCTTCGGATGCTACCGGCAAGGGAAACCTTTACTCAGCTTTATTGCATGAAGAGCACACACAGGGGATCCCCTGAAGGCTTGGAAGAGATAATTTGGCAAGTGGGCTGTTAAAACAAACTAGGAGAGGGTCTGGCGTGTAGAACATGAGCTTGTGCCCTCCTCAGACCAAGTGGGTGCGTGCGCCTGCCCTGGCCCAGAGCATCCTTCCATGCCTGCTCTGAATGCTCCCGGCCTTTGGGCTCAAGTCAAATTCTGCCATAAAACTTTTCTGCTGTTTAAAAGAACTTGAAAGTTGTAGCAATATTCCTTTTACATATATAATCTAATAGTAAAGGCATTTATCACTGCTTCCCTTTTTAATTTGAATTCCTTTTTTATTCAGGCTACTCTATTTCATGCTCCCTCTAACAGAAATCAGTCTCACACAACCTCCACGCAGCAAGTGGAAATTGGAAACTTGCCCTTCTCTCTGCCCAGCTTTTAAAGGTTAGGAGAAAAAAAGCTGAAAATGCTTTGGCCGTATTTTGCTCTGATGTGAAAATCTGGGAGTGAACATGTTTCCTTTTGCTTCCATCTGTTTATCACTGCTGAGAGAAAAGAGGAGCAGGGACAGAGCTTAACCTCGATGAGAGGGGAGGCTGCAGTGCTGCTGGACACGAGCACTGTGTCACTGAAGTGAAAACAAGTCACACATCTGCTTTGGGTTACGGCAAGGACCTCATTTCTGCCGTCCCCGCTCTCCGTTTGCCATGAAGCGGGTGCTGCAGCACAGCTGAGAGGTGAGATGCCTTCTCCTTCACTGACACAGACGCTGTAAATCATGATCTTTGGCAGAAATATTTTGTCTCCTGCCCCACTGTGGAAGAGGAGTTGGGATTGTAACACTGCAGCCCTCACCTTCCCCGAGATGTGCGTCTTGCAGAAGGGAATGAAGAGAGAATCTTGCATCTCCTTGTTAATGCATATAAAAGTTGAGTCAGTTGACCAGGCAATGCCTGGCCGCTTTAGCAGGGCAGCTTGAACTAGCAACACACAGGTAAATCTGAGCAGTAGCTATTTTCTGAATATTGCTTTTTCTGAGCAGAGTTCTCTCCAAGCCTTTTCCATGTTGAGATCTGTGTTTTATCACCTGTGATATAAAACTATTTCTATGGCACACACATAAAAAATCCCACCATGGATTTGCACAGGAGACAGAATAAATCTATTCAGAAAAAAGCAGAAAGGACTAATCTCAGAAATTATAGCTAGAGGCACACCAGAAGGAAAACTGGTTTTCAAAATGACCTCCAAGCCAGCCATCTTCCTCCCAAAAAGCCTCCTGGCTTATATCCAGGTCAAGATTTAAGTTTAATAAGGTTTTCTCCCCCCACACCTTTGCAAAAGATTTGGACCAAAATACTTGCTTTATCAACAGTTACATGGCATTGCCAGTAGTAACCTCTCATCTATAAGGAAAATTACCTACTCAGCCATGGGAAGAAAGGAATTAAAATGAGCTGTGGAGTTGTTTGGATGTTGCAAGTTCAGCTTTGCAGACGGGCTGTCCCTCGGCAGCCCGGGTGCAGGAGGACGGTGGATTTGCAAAGCTGGCAATGATGGTAGGGGAGTGGGGCATTGACCAAATACGCATCTGATGATAACTTTAAATGGGCAGGAAATAAGTTCCCTGTAACTTCATCATGATTTGTACTGGCTCAACAGTGGAATAATGAGCAGGAGGGGAGAAGAACAGCTTGTAAGCGTGCAGGTATCTGCCATCCTGTGGTGGGAGGTTTTTGTTAGGGCCACACTATAAATCCAAGAAAAAACGTTAAGGTAAGGGAACCATTCAGCTATTCAGCTAAAGGCTTTGCACTGAAAAAAACCCCAAATCCCAGCTTTGTATGAATTCTGGTTATGAAATTCTGTGACCGGGGATATATTTTTATTTATTGTGGGGACCTGGAGCTGAGCAATAACAGAGGCAGCACGCCCCGCGAAGGGCCAGGACTGCCTCTCCCCCAGCTCTGAAGGGACTCCAGCATGCCCTAAGCTCTTGGGGACGCCTCAAAATGTTTATCGAGTTTACTCTGCTTCCATGCAAAACAGCATTTCAGCACAAGCAGCTAATAATATGTGAGGGTTACGGTGCTCCCTCCTGCCCCTACTTTGCTCTACAAGCTTGGCTGCCTAATTCTCCCTCTGCTATATTGGAGCAAGAGCTCCATCTTCTGAAGAAGCAGAAAAGAGCCCAACCCAGACTGTGTCCCCGAGCAGTCAGTGGCACAAAGTCACCTGCAGTATAAAATGACCAGCCCACAGAGGAAAAGGAATTGCTAAATGCAAGGTACTGTTTGAAAATCAGTTTTCAGAGTGCAAGTACATTATGGCTATATGGAGACATCACTGAAAAGCTCTAGGAATAGCTCTAGGAAATAGCAAGAAAACATCCTACATCATCCTACAATATTGCCTGGAGTGCATGTAAAATTAGAATCATGCCTAGAGACTGCATATACGATCAGCAATAGCGAGAGGGAACAGAGTTAATTTTAACAGGGAAAACAGAGCCTCGGTGCTGCAACTAGACCCTGGCAACACGACTGCAAAGCGTCTGGGCAGTGGTGCGAGACTTGCAGGAGGAGCTGTCTGTGGTTTTGCCTTGTGAAATTCTCCTTAGTTTGTACTCAGCAACTTTGTAAACCAGCCCGGAGCTGCGAGTCTCTAGGCTTTGGGGGATACGACCACTGACAAAGTGAACCAGTGTTCAGAGTTTGCCTGCACCCTATTTTCAAGATGCATTTATGGCTGGAGAAACCTCCTGCACATGCCGTGGTCCAGGACCCAGCGAGATGTCATAACCAGACTTGCTGAGAAGACAACAGATGGTGCTCCAGGGTGGGAGCACCCCAAGGGGAGCCCTCCTAGCTGTGCTGCTAGCCCACGACGAGCTACCCCTTACGTAAAGTCAGAAAACCTCCAGCTTGTGAAACTTGACTGCCCTGCAACAAAGGGGATAAAAAAATACCTTCCAGTATAGGAAGGATTTCACTGAAATATACTGGAAAACCATCAACAGCTGACTGGAATTTTAAGCCTTTCAGAAGGCTTCCTTCATATTCATCAAAAGAACATATATTGACAAAAAGGAAGTATTTAAAAAGGAATTTACTCGCAAAATTTGTTTCATATGGCCATAACTGGTATATTCTTTTTTTTTTTTTTTTAAATGGACTAAATCTACGTGGGTTTCCTGAGCTGCTCCCATTGCAAACCCTGGTCTCCCGTTTCCAGTGGACAGCATGGTGATGAGGCAACACATGGAGCGATGATGCTGCATACATGGCAAGGGCGACAGGCTGCTCTTAAGGCATTTTCTTGTGTCATCTGTTATGCTTCCCTATCTATTTCTATGTACATTTACAGCTAGAAAATGAGAACTATGATTTTTGAGACTAGAAGCCTTCTGCCGAAACCTGCTAACCTGTTTATAAACTTTATTGTAATGCTGGATTAACAAGCAGGCAGCAATGAGGGCAAGAGTGAGGCTGCAGAAATGAAGTATTGCCTTGAGAGTGCTGGGGGTCAGGCCACGGCGTCTTTTGCAGCAGTAGGAGATTTTGCCTAGGTACCTCCTATTCAGACGGGGTTTGAGCTACGGCAGCGAGTAGGCAAAACAGTCACGGGAATCCCTGATCAGACTCCGTCTCTTCTCCCCGATCTTCTACCCAGTGCTCTTGCAAAGAAATCTACGTTTTTAAATGCTTGGTTTTAATTTACTAGTGCCTAAAGTCACAGAAATGTCTTAAGGTGTTAAGAAATTAAAAAAAAAAAAAGCTTAATTCACTACTTTTGCAGGCTTTTTGGAGCAGCTGCTTTCTTTTTTTTCCTGCAGAGGCATATGCAGCCAGATTTAGTACATCAAGTGTAATGCAAATGGCTTAAAAGACCTGATTGGAGTTAGGAAATATTTCTGCTAGGCGTGCTATATGATACCTGCGACTTTGGCATTCCGAAATCTGCAGTCGCCGACTACTATCTGCAGACTGTGGACAGGAATCCAGCCTTCTTTTCTTCTGTTTAGGTTTTTCACCAACCTTTGAATGACAACAGTATTAGTAAAAGAAGCAAACCAACCCAGGAGCAGTTGGATATGGTCACACTCTACACAACTGCTGGTGCAACCAACAATTTGTTCAAACCAGGGAAGCATTTTAACAGGAGCTGGGCATGCATTTAAAGTATTATTCCCACCTAAATTTAGGAACCTAATTAGAAAACCCAAATTGGAAGCACAGTTGCCTTGGGCCCCTCTCTAGTCAATGGAGAGGAATAGGACTCTCCAGAGCACAAGTTATCCTGCCCAAGACCTGCATCGCTCTCCCGAGGTGCCGGTTTCCCTCCATTGACTACTGATGGAGCCAAGGGCAATTGCTTTCCTCAGTCCTCTGCTACTAAGCTAGACTGGCAGGATGAATTTATTCAGGGTACTATAAGTAAATTCAAGCCAAAATGTAGGCAGCTGGAAATACTCACGCTCATAAATGACATTTCTCTGTCTCACTCATGCAGTGAAATCTGCTCTAACAAATAAATTTGGTGTGAGAAATCTTTGCCTGGCACTGGCCGAAACCACCGTGAGAGGTGGTGAGCATTCAGCAATACTGAGATGCTTTACATCTTGCTTTTGCTAACAACAAACTGTATTTTCCTTGAAGTGCAAGGGCTGTAGCTGTCAGCCAGGAATCCTCCATGGGGCACTTGTGTCTGTGCGTTTAAGGGCTCGTGCCTGCACACATCTGATTCAGGTTCCTGCTAACATCACCCTTCCCATATCCCGAACAAGGCATTAGCACGCTGCGCTCTCTCCCACTGAGAACCCGGGCTGGCTGATGAAAGCTAGTCAGAAATCAACCTGGAAAGGAAAGACAGCCAGAAATCTCAGCCAAATTGGTGCAAAAATCAGAAGAGGGCATGCTGCCCTCCGAGATGCCGAGATTAACAGTTCCAGAGGCAGGAGGCTGGGTATGGTGACTTCCCAGGCAATGCTCCCAGCCATAAGGACAGAACCAGCTGTGAACTGTTATCTTGCGAGCCACGGCTTTAAATACAGCAGAAAGCTGGTCCGCAGCCATTAACCAGTTAACACTCGTACAGCTGTTTGAGGGAGGAAAACGTCTCGTGGCTACTCAATATTGCTGTTAATAAGCCCAGAGGAACAAAGCCAACAGCCGAGCTGGGGTGAGCAAAGAGCTCCCACTTGAAGCATCATTTGGAGAGGGAAAAGTGTGGCAAGAGGGGCTGCCCATGATGTTGGTAAAATACAGCTCGCCCAGACACCCACGGCAAGGGAAGTCCTGACGTTTTCCCAGGCCAAGCCAGTGCATATGGCCTCTAGTCTTGGCAAGGGAATGAATTCTCCAGCTTTCTGGAATAGCCTAAAACTTCATCAGAAGCTGCAACGAGTGTATCACCAGGCAAGTGAGCTTGCACAGGACTGCCTTGCAGGCTCTGAGAGATAAGGCAAAATAATCCTAAAATACCTACCACTGTCCCTCACCATCTTCATGCAAAAGCTGAATTTCATCCCCATTTTTCACCAGCAGGTCCTCTGATCCTCTCCTCTTGCAGTCTGCAAGGGCTTTATATTTTCCTGGAGACTGTGGTAGTAAGAAAAAATTATCTTATTTAGCTACATTTCATATCACGCAGCTGTTATTTCTGACTGCCGCAGGGAATGTGACAGAGCCCTATCAGCTACCTTAATTAAAATTATTTCAAGAAACTGGCTGAGACATCTCCTCATTCCCCAAAATTGAGATATGGAAAATCTGAGAGACACAGACAAGATACATCCATTATCCAGTGAAGCAAAACAAAGCGAGATGACTAAAAACAGCAGCACCCCGAGCTTTGGGACTCTTGCATCTCTGTACTAACCAGCTGGTTCCCGTCCTCCTCTTCGGTGTCCGAGCAGTTGGAGAGGTACTGGTTACCCGACCACTCCTCCAGCCCCTCACAGATTTCCAGGGACTGTGACATTCCCGGCCAGCCTGCAAGACAGCATGCAGCTCAGGCTGGGGGTACCCCAGCACCCGCAAAGCGCACCCCGAAGGGAGGGGAAGGGTCCGTACTTCTGTGGGGCTTGTTCTGGGGGGACGGGAGCCCGCTGTCCAGCATCACCGGGCTGGTGCGCTCCGAGTCGTTCTCTTCTGAGCTTATGGAGGCTCTCTGCTGCTTTCTGAATGATTAAAAAAAAGAAATCAATCTTAGTTTTACTTTATGAATGAGCGTAAACTCCACGAGGTTTTGTAAAACAGGGTCAGAAATCATAATGGTACTTTTTAATTTATGTTTCTGTAAAAGTAAAGGACTCGGTGACTGGTTTTAATTTTGGGGGGAGGGGAAATAAAATTGCTACAGTATCTCTTT